TCGGCATTCTCGAGACCGAAAATCCCGTAATCCTCCTTCCGATTTAATCGAGATTCAATGCGTTTAAGAACGTATAGCACACGTGTGTGTATGGGTCACGCTTCATCCTCGCCAGGTCGCATTCGATATCGGGCTCTTAAATGGATTCGCGCGCTATATCGTGCGAGTTTATGACCAGTATACCCCTCTATTACCACGCTACTGAATCACATCGTTTATTTAACACGAGTTAAAATTCTCGTTTTAACACACCGGATTGTTTGTAGCAACTTATACGTATATAATGTGCGATACGCCAAATTTGACGTTCGAACATGTTCCTGAGGAATATCTTTATATCCACACGCGTCCCGAAACTTTTCCCCGGACTAGGTACTTTGCGTACACACCGTGACTGTATGTGCATCTTTATCTTCCTCTTCTGTGTTAACTCTCGACTATGCACTTCGTGTCTTCAGAGGCACGTTCTGCTAACGCGCGCGCGAGTGCTTCAAGTACCGTAAATAAATTCTCTACGTAGCCTCCGTTCAGTCTCTGTTCTCCTTTGAGAGCTACTTTAAACGCAATAAGCTTACCACGTACAAAGGGGAGTAATTTTTGATAATGAGAACATTTGAAGTTGAAGAAAATTTTTATAATAAAAATATAAGAAGTGTGAAGGCTCGACGATATACAATCAAAGGTGAAAAAAATGCCTATAAAAGCCGACTGGTTATTAGTGTGTAAAATATAAAGTTTATTAACAATAATTTAAACGTTTCGACTACTCAATATATTTTGGTCATCTTCAGTAATTAATGAACGCAATATAAACGGTACGCTATTATATAATATTAAGTCAATTGATAAAATTATACAAGTTGAAAGATGTGTCCTTTCATTTAAAATCTTGAATGTCATAGTATTTGAATACTGTACGTGAGTCAATCTATAATATAAATCTAATAAGTAAAAATCAATCCGAAATTATAATTAAAATAAACTTACATATTCGCTGTACATATTAGTATGAGAAAGACGTGTGACATCACGAGGTCCGTTACCAGTCAAAGTATAAGAACAGATGAGAAAGTAACGAAGTAAAGACATACACAGATAAATAATAATACGCTGAGAGGTGAGAGAATCAAGACTTTGAAAAAAGGTCACGATACAACGGATCTAATAATTCCGTGTCCCTCTATAAATTTAGATCTTCTTTTTGTTTGTGGATAAAAATCACTTCAGAAGTCAATCTCGTTTGTTTAGTGATTTTTCCTCTTCTAAAATCTTTACCTCGTTCCAAATAAAATCGTTGTTTTTATAATAAAAAAATTTACGCGGCATCAGTCAGTGCAGTCGCGAATAGTTACGTTATTTATATTATTTACAGAGCACTTTAATTTTCAAGCAATAATTAATTCTAATTGATATACTTAAATCTTCTATTTTTTTGATTACACATATATTCCTTTTTCTAAAGAGACCTTTTTTCTAGAAAAATTGTCTTTACATGGAAAGGTTGATTTTGCTGACGTGTCTAAAAATTTAGAGATACAGATTTGAAAACAATTTTGTTGGACCATCAAAATTATTACGTATAGGACGTTAAAATCTGGAATATCAAACTTTTTGTAACATCATGCTTGAGATTCCTACGTAATTATTTTGATGGTTCAATAAAATTATCTTCAAAACTTTATCTAATTAAATTTTAGACATTTCAATAAAATCGTTCTTTCTTTCCGTGTTATCGGAATATCAAAAATTTCCTTTAGCTATAATTCTTTTACCACTCTGATTCGTCTATTCTTTATCTATTTCTAACGAACACTTCAGGCTACCGCGGATGCGGTTGAGAGTCGATATGCTCGATAGAGATTCTCCGACTTCGTGCAAAGTTTCGCGCGCTATGTCGAAGTTTATTCGATACGATACCGAGTCGCTCGAAAAGGGATTTTCGCGGGATTAATCGAAGGTATTTCGGATCGGGAGGGGGTGGAAAGGGAAGGAAACCGATCGTGTCGTGGTAAATTTTCGGCGGCACGTGAAGCACGGCGGGCAACCGAAGGAAATTAATTGCCCAAGTTCGCCTCGATTTTCCTCGGATCGTTAAAGAGCCGTTTCCGTCGTTAATTGAACCGAGAGGTGATTTTTTATGGTCAGATCTTAATTGCGATTTTAGATTAATCCCCGTTATTAACGATCACCCGGCGGAAGCGTCGCGCGTGAAAGCTTTAACTGCGCGATCGGAAAGATCAAATTTATATTCGTTAAATTCACGGTTCACGGAAGATCGGAACTGTTAGATAATTCCGGCAGTGTCCGTGTTAGTCGACTTTCGTTCACGGGGTTGTTCCGCACGATGTAACACGGCGGCAGATAATTAATTTCTGTAATTTTTGTTATTACAGTAATACGTTTAATAGCTTAGTCTTTTTTCTCTCCCGTGTCATGTATTGTGTAGCACGTATTTCCCTTTTTTGCAAAATAAATTTTATCGTACTTGTTACGACAGATACTACGAAGTACGCACAAATTGACGCACCAGGATACTCCAAAGTCGTAAACGGATTAGTGTTTAAACGTAGGCGTGAAATCTTTGTAAAATCGATTAATTGCTATTAGGCGCGGTACCGCTGCTGTTTGATTTATAGTCGAGTTACGTACACGGCACGCTATAAATTAATAATCCCTACTTGCCGCGAACAAAACAGGCTTTAGGATACGGCGAACATTTCGTAGCAATATTGGCGAACGACTAACTGCATGCGATTCTGCGAGTCGGCAACCGCTTGAATTTAAATCAGACTGGATTAACGCGACTTTAAATTAGTTATAATTGTCGATGACTCTGCAGGTTGAGTTCTACGTGCGAACATTTAATTGCAATTTGGCGGTACTGTGGCTTCAAGGCGACATGCGATTCTCTCATTCGCGTGGATTTAATTTTCACCTCGCGAGCTGCGACGGAGTTGGCGAAAATCGCATGTTAAGCTCAACTAATTGCCAGGTCTGTTTTCGAAAACCGAGAGAGAGAGAGAGAGAGAGAGAGAGAGAGAGAGAAAGAAAGATTCAAATTAATCCGCAACAATGTTATCTCTTTTTTTTTTATTTGGTTATTTCCCGTGATGCAATTTGTTGAGAGAAAAGTGTTTGGTGTTTGTAACCATAATTGCATGATAAAGTAATACGGTTTAGGAGCCCCATTTTTACAGTTATTCCTGTTATAATGTTAATAACAATAATTACCATTACAGTTCTATACACACAAAATATTATATAAATATGTAAAGAAATACATATGATATAAAAAAATTTAAATTATACTTATTTTCGGATCCAACTATACATATTTTTGTATATCGACGCCTGAGCCATAGAAGGTGCTATATCGAGAAAAACAAGAAGAAAGGTCTATGTCAAGAAATGAATGAAAAGCGGTCTATTTCGCACAAGGCGTGAAGATCGGTCTATGTCCGAACGCATACGAAGTACAGTTTATATCGAGAAAGTGAGAAGAACGATTCAAGTCACATGAGATTAAAGAAGAGGTTACATAGCGCAATATATTTTCTTCTCATAAATTTTATAGAGTAGTATGACTGAGAACGGGAATCGTCTTGATTTTCAAGTTTCTGTTTCTCGCACTCATTTATTCATATATTATTTAATTTTTCGTAACTAAATTTGTGTAATTTATGAGTAGTGAATATTGCGCTACATAGAAAAGAGACCGGTATGTGATCAGGTGCTCTTAGTATTTCAAAGAAAAGAAATGCGCAGGATACGAATGATCCAAAGGTGTAGTGTATTAAGGGTTAAGCAGGGAGTCATAGTTCATCTAATTCTTTTACGTAAACGATTACTTGGAGTGTAAACTTCCTTCTTTAATTTCATGCGACTTGAACCGTTCTTCTCATTTTCTCGATATAAACCGTACTTCGTATGCGTTCCGACATAAATCGGTCTTTCTCACGCGAAATAGACCGCTTTTCATTCATTTCTTGACATAGACCTTTCTTCATGTTTTCTTCGATATAAGACCTTCTATGGCTCAGGCGTCGATATAAAGTTACACAGAAAAAAAATTTGCAGATTTTAAATAAATATTTATTCCAATATATATATAATCGTTAGTACTATACGTATATTGAAGTAAATATTTATTTAAAATCTACAAATTTTTTTTTCAGTGTATAAATATAATTATTATTAGCATATTGTAGCAGTATTAACCATAATTATTGTACACTGAAAAAAAGATATAGTCAATTTTAATAAATATTTAGTTCAATACTGCCAACTAAACATTTACTTACAACAAATAAATATTTGTTCAGTAAAAAGAATGATTGTTAAATCAAGTTAATGTTTCTTGTAACAAATAAATATATCTTTATATTTAATAAATATTTAGTTGGCAGTATTGAACTAAATATTTGTTAAAATTGACTGTATTTTTTTCAGTGTACCATACTGTGATTATACAGCCATAAACATCAAACATTTTTTTTCAGTGCAGTACGACGCGCATTTTTGCTGAACAATAAATATTTCTAATTTATTCATAAATTTTACGCAAAATTTCCAACATGAAGTCATAGTTTTAAAAAACAATAGAAACACTAATAAGCGTAATACATACATAAATTAAAGCTATGAAAATCTGATCAAGCAGTTAACGTTCAAGAAATCACATTTATTACAAGCAGCTTTCCAATAATCTTCTTAAGAGTTTTACAGTATTCTTGTTCATTTTCTGGAAGTAAAAAGATTCTACTTCATTTTCTTAAAGTATCTTTGCAAAAGTTAAATTATTCAACAAACTTTTTACTAGATTTCATTTATAAAAATTGAACCAATCGATTCTATGTAAATATCGACAACAATTAATTAATTGTATAGAGAGAGGCTGCACGTTATTCAATGAAAAATTTTTTGCATGTTCAATCAGTACCACGATAGATCAAGTTTCGGCCGCAGCAATAACTTTGACGAATACTTATTATTAAACTCACCTGCGCTGCAACCATGCCCTGTCTCAATCTCTTGAGATCTGTGTGGCTCCAGGCGCTCCGTGACCAGGGATGAATGTCACTTAGGTCATCAAACCTGAACTCCCTCAACTGGTTCTTCAGGAACTTCCGTATATTCCAGGGTAGGTCGTTGTGCCTGGAAGAAAACGCGAAATATCGATTGATATGGGCATACACACCGTCCGTGACTTTTCCATCCTTTAAACTTTTTAAGTTAAACATGACGTGCTACTAAAACAGTTAGATAAATTATTCCGATAGAATATACATTCTTCACGCGTATGTGACGCGAAATATATGTATTTCCGCGCGCGGAACTTCCAAATACTTTTCCAATAAAGTTGTTTTACACGATTGTTCGTGATCCTCCGACGAAAAGACAAAGTATCACGAGTGCCACGACTTCTTAAAAGAATCAGTTAAAAACTTGGATGTTAGCAGAATATTTCAAATTATTTTGTTAAAAGTTTTGCAACTTATACAAGATACATTCACTTCATTTCTCATTATTTGTTTGAGCTTATAGTTTAAGCTTAATTACTCCTGGTGTTAATCATACTTCAAAACGAGAATATTCGATGTCCTGTAATTTTGTTCTACAATATAGCCAAACAAACTCTAGATAGCCAAAGTTTAGCCTTTATAACAGCGTTATCTGATGTCCAACTTGAGGTGGACTCGGTAGCTGTGTCAAACTTATTTTCCACGAAGTTATACAGAGGATGCTTCACGGAAACAAGAATGTATTTGCATTCTTGTTGAGATGAAACATGAATTTAATTCTCTCTGACGTGTTGGATTCGTTTAAACTTCTTTTTGAAATAAATATTTATTTTATATTTTATCAGAAAATGGAATTTTTTGATATTTACTATGTATAAATAAAGGATCTCGCATTAATTATGTGGAAAATTGGATCCTGGCGAAATAAGTGTAATTAGTTTTCACATGTAATGTAGCTTATAATGTGTTGATCAAAAGATGCTATAGGTACAAAGCTCAATAATGGAGAATTTTTGAATTGTGATTAAAGATGTATTAAAGATGTAAAATTTGTGCTCACAGAACACCTTTGAAACATTATAGTTAAAGTCTTGTGTCTCTGATATCTTTTTCGCTACATTATAAGCTACATTATATGCGAAAACTAACTCATTTCGGAATTTAATTTTCCACACGATTAGTGCGGAATTCTTTATCGCATAATTGAAAGATTTTAAAAGTAAGGTCATTCTTTGTAAAATGACGACACGAGAAACATACTAATAAAAAAATCTTAATATATATATTTTTTAATACGAATATACCTCTTTATTTTATATATTAACAATAATATTTATTAACTTTAATTACAACATACGAAAAATTAATTATCGATAAAATAGACTACAATTATATATATTTACCAACAATGTGTGTGTGTTTGAATAAATCTCATTCAATTTTTGTAACTGCACAATCAGAATATCTATTCCGATTTTCATATTAATATTTCCATATTAATGAACATAAAATAATGATATCATAAATTAACAATATAAGCTTTATTCATTTAATTCATTTTGCTTGCTTTTGTGACAAATGCTTGAACGTATAATAACATGGCACGCGTTCGCTGAAAGGGCTGATATATTACATATTACGTATCACTGGTTATCTGATCAATCAATATTTCTCTCATGAATGGATGAAGGAAGCTTGAACATCGCGGCGTATAGACGCACGTTCATTACGCGCACTAATTGTTGCAGCAATCGTTGTTCATGGCACTCGGCACTCGGTTGAAACACATTCGGTCAATTCGAAGAGGTACGTACGTACAATTGCAACAACGGTTTGCCCGATACTGTGCTGCGTAGCGCGCGTTCGTTACACGCGTTCTGTTTTCGTTATCAACCGCGTATTTCCTAGAGATGAAAATGACCAGAAAAAACTAGAAATTTTGAATTAAAAACTCGGTAAAAAAAACAGTTTTTTTCTTGGTCCCTGAAAGTTCTTTACTTGAATATATTTTTTTTAAGTCATTGACGATTTTCACGCTCTGCTATTGTTCAAACTAAAATTCAACTTTTATATTTATCCAAAAGATTTCTGTAAAAAGATAGCTATAAAAGTTAAAATGTAGAACAATGATTAACTGGCAGTGATTATGGATATAGGTACATTATATTATTATATCATTCATAATTATTTGAACGATATTTCATATTGTTCTTTATAATTTTAAAAGTTATTGCATATTGTTATTAACAGAAATAATACTTCATTAGAATAATTGATGCTGCTTTGGTTATATATTTGTTGTAATTATACATATTCTAAAATATAAATTTATGAGTAATGTTTGTCGGACTACAGATATTATTATAATGTATTTTTACACTCCAATGGCGAAGAAACATAAAATGTAAAATTTTATATGGATATTGTTTAATAATTCTTTTAAAATAACTATTTTTTTAAACTTCTAAGTAGGCAATTCTACCGAGAACCTATAATAAGAAAGTGTTATATTAAATAAAATCTTTATTTCTTTAGAAAAATCACCGTCGTAATAAATTATTCAACGTGCTTCTGTTTAATATTCTATTTAATATTTGTTTTGAAACCAATAACAGTTATAGATATTGTTTAAAATTTTTTTTCAATATCTACTCTTTATGAACTTTTAAATATGCGATTACGTTGAAAACTCGTAAGCGTATATTAAATAAATTTTTTTTTTTGGAAATGTTACCATAGTAAGTTATTTAACGTGCTTTTGTTTAATATTGTTTAATATTTATTTTAAAGCCAACAATAGTTATAGATATTGTCCGACATATTTTTTTTTAATAACTACGTATTCTTTATGAATCTTTAAATATACAATTCTATTGAAAAGCCGTAATAAAAAAGCGTTATAGTAATTAAAATTTTTATTTTTTAGAAGTATTGCCATAACAAGTTATTTAAAGTGCTTCTGTTCAGTATTCTGTTTAACAATTGTTTTGAAATCAGTAATAGTTACTCTTTTTTTAGAAAAAAATTATGAGTAAATAATAAATTTATATTCATAATGTTCTTCAATATTAATATATATATACATATATAAATCAGCAATAAACAATATATAATATATTGTCAATAATATAGTGATTTTAATTAGGATATAAAACACTCCAATTAACCGTTTACGTAAAAAAAATTAGATGAATTACTCCCTGCTTAAAAATCTCACTACAGTATATAACATAACACTGAATTTATTAAATTATGAATTTATTTGAATGGCATATTCAATTTGATTGCTTATAACTTTCATAAAAATGAATCTATTGTAAAAACTTGTTTTTTAATTGAAACACCAGACATTAACTCTTCGTAGACACACATATTACTTCGTATTAGATACGCACATTTTTACTTATCCGTAGGCATACGCTAGATTTTTTTTCGTCCAACCTAAATTTTTTACTGTTCTAAGTTTTCAAAAAATCTAGGAAATCTCTAGATTATTTTTCATCTCTGTTACATCGCTATTTGCCAAATAGTTATTTAACTCAAATGTTAGAATTTTATTTAGTAAAGATTGAAATTTATGCCAAGAAATTTGAGAATAAAATTTCGCTTAGATAAAAAACGACCCTAATATGAAGGGTTAATTAGAAAACATAATTAGAGAACGACATGTGTAAATGTATTTACCTTTAGGTTTGTCGCGTCGCGTGCTACACATGTTCCAATATGCTCCTACCATAGCTCTTACTCACTCCAACGCGCTTGATAGTCGCAATCTCCAATATGCCCCTATCAAGCGCGTTGGAGTGAGTAGGAGCTATGGTAGGGGCATGTTGGAACACATTGAAGATTGCGATACGAACAAACCTAGAGTGAGTAGGAGCTATGATAGAAGCATGTTGGAGCATGTTGGAGCTTGCGACGCGGACAAACCTTTTATTAATAAAATAGTATATAAGCAATGTAAAGAGCATTGAAAAAGCATTGGAAAAAGTCGGGTATCGATGGTCCAGACCAAAAAACGTTGAAGCCGTTTAAACGTTAACGTCCAAGGTCGCAAGCTCCCATGTAAACACCTCGCGCCGCGTCACGCTGCACCGCATCGTGCTATACCCACCGTCCGCATTCCCCATACAAACGTCGCAGGTGGGTGACCGCGCGCAATTGTGCGTATCTTTTCGTACCGAACGGACACGTTCGAATCTTAATCCTCGTGTATTACGGACAATAATCCCGGCAGTACACCTAGTTCGTTATTACGAACGTTAGTAGTGTGCACGATATTCAATTGTGATCATAACTGTGTATGTTTCTCTCGTTATTCTAATCTCTAATACGCCATTAGTCTAATTTCCTTCGTACGCCTCATATTATTCGCTTTACGAATAGTATTTGTAGTTATATCGTATGTATTAATTTTTTAAATGCCTTGGCTGGCGAATGCGAATCTAGGAGTAAAAGTCGCGAGTGAATTTCGGGAGCAATCGGGAGTGCCGAAAATTAGGAGTGTCGGAAGATGGTGAGTACCATTTCCAAAGTATTTCGGGTAAGTGTTGAATTTAGCCTCCTAACCTCCGATGAAATTTATAGGCTCATTCGACGTGTTTTTGCACAAAACGAACGAATCTGCCAAAAAAGTGTCGCTCTGTCAACTTTAACAATTAATATGTAATATCTCGGTTCGCGGGGCACTTTTTTGGCAGATTCGTTCATTTCGTGCAAAAATGCGTCGAATGAGCCTAATTTTATCAATATCGGAGGTGAGGAGGTTAAACTCGTATAACAATTACCCGTATCACGACGATACGCAATTGTGATTGACCGTTCTTTCGTTATACTCCAACATACGCCATTACAGTTTAATTTGCTTCGTACGTCTCTATTATTCTCTTCGTGTATAATTATATTCTATGATTATCATTGGTATGCGTTAATTTTTTAGATGCCATGGCTGGCGGATGCGGATCGAGGAGTAAAAGTCGCGAGTGAATATCGGGAGTGTCGAAAATCGGGAATATCGGAAAAAAATGTTCAATATTGAGAATCGGGAGTACCGAAAAACCAGAATATTTAAAATCGGGAGTGCCGAAAATGCGTAGTATTGAGATTCGGGAGTGTGTCGTTAATAGCTTCCCC